GAAAATTAATGACTGCTTCCATATATGGATGATAACTTATTAAACATCTAATACTTTTACTTGTGAATGGTCTTCGACATGAATTCCTTTATTGCACGCCTGATGCTCTCGCATTAGTCAGTCATAATGCATGTCAGATGATTACCTCCCATTGCAAAATTCAAGTTTCAAACAACCATTTGAAACTTGATCAATTTTTATGTGGCAGTAGGGCACAACCAAAAAGAATGGAGTGCCTGTGATGATTAATCCCGAGCCAGGTTTTAAATGACATCCTATATCCGTTCACCAAGTAGGCGGTATCAAAACACACAACATCATGAAACTCTTCATGAGTAGCTCTTCCGCATGTATGAATCCAAATAACATTTGATAGTCTACCATCTCCATCCATTCTCATTAAATGGAAAAAATTAGAATATTTCTTTGCATCTTTAGAAAGACCCTATCAATTGCTTCAGCATCTTTTTGTTCTAGCCTTAGCCTCCTAGTAGCCTTAATGTAGTTTATGCAATCTTTCACAAGGCAAGGCATGTTCTCTGGACCACCGGCTTGAACTGTGAGAAATTTTATGCTCTTGCACAGCCAGATTCTGCATATATCGTTTGCTTCCAAAACTCTCTTCATATTGGGTGATTCTGCCTATGGGACGGCATCATCCTAAACGTGGAAGGATCCATATCATGGTTATGGCCCCTTACGATTTTCTTCACCTCCCATAGGTCATATTTGTTTACAGAGGCATATACCCTCGCAGGACAGTCCACCCTCTTACTAAACCTCTCTGCCTTCAATTTTCTACCTTTGTAGCAAGCAATAACGTAATACCTATATATCCCTCCGACACCCTTTATCCCTTAGCAATGCCAAAACCTTTGCATTTGCCATGCCACTGCTAAAATTCGTAGAGCCTATCCTGTGTGAGGAGAACCATTGCCTCCTTCGACCCTTCATCAATATTATCGGTTATCAAACCATTGTCACCACCGTCGCATTCCTCCAGCAAGACTGAGTTCAAAACATTTTCAATGTTTTCGTCATACATCGTCTGGGAATCCAATACATTTTTTGTGTCTTCAATTATGTCATTCCTAATATCGTCCGGATTTTCACTATTAATGGATACGTTCTCATAACTATTACTATCGTTGCCAAACAGTTCCTGCATCAACGTCCTATGATTGTCGTGAGCAGCTCCTTCAGTCAAACAATTTTCATAAGATGCATGGCCTTCCGCTTCTTGCATTATTATCAAACCTCCTTTGCTGCTTTAATCAACCATATAATCCATCAGGGCATGCGATGCATTGGCTTCTAAAATAAGGATGGATCTATTTAATAGTCACCAAGGTCTATGTATTTAAGGGTGGATTTTATTGATAATGGTGCGAAATTGAAAATCTTTTCTGTTTATTGGCTATGATATGGGCCATAAACCCAAGGCCCCATAAATATTCATTGCCAACTATTAGATATGCTTTCTTCCTCTATATTCTCTTCAAGTCCATGTTAAAAATAGCCCAGCAATAACCCAAATTAACTGGCCTTTAACTTCTTAGCCCAGTAAATTGGCCCTTCATCATTAGTTCAACCTAGGATTTAAAGATGGGTGCATGCAATCCACCTATCCATTCAGCATCTAATCTTTTCAAGCACCTTGCTCTGCATGCCACGTGTGCTGCAATATTTTAATGTGCAAAAAGTGTAAAATCTTCGTTCACATTATTCAACACAAGAAATCATTGCAGTTTTTCCTCCTATATTGCACCATTTTTCGCCCTAATGCAAGAAGGGGTATTGCTTGAATTGAACACCACGAGATTTTTATTGTGCCAGGCTCAACTTGAGTAAAACATTTTTATTGTTGTAATATTATGCCACCTAAATAATATATCTATAATACCCTAAGTATATACAATATTTATAAGTGTGTGTTTTTAGGCTCAAGTGACCTTCTTGGCATGTGCTTTAATTATTTCTCTTAACTCCTATAATTCTGAGCTTCTTACCTAGGCCTAATTTTTAGGCTAATGTCCACCGTTATTTTTAGCATCCAAAAGCTAATTTTAATATAAAGGTAAATGTCCTTAATAAAAAAGAAAAAGAAGAAAAATATATTGTTTATTGGTATTCATTCCGCTTATACTATAAATCTTACTAATATCATAATTGAGTGTGATAATTTTGAAGCTGTTCAGCTCATAGAAGGTGTTCTTGAACCCCCCAACTGCTTTGAGATCATTATTTTTTCGCATTAAGCAATTTTTCCAATTTGATTTTATCTCAAATATTAATCACATTTATAGAAAAGCAAATATGTGTTTTGATTGTTTGTCAAATGGTATTTCTTCTTTAGCTTATAGAATTCAAGTTCTTGAACACCCTTTTCTGATTTATTGTCTTTGCTCAGTCATGATGTTTATGGTGTTGCTACTCTTCGTATTGTTTCTAGCTAGTATTGTTTAACTCTCTTTTTTACCAAAAAAAAAAAAAAAAAGTGTCAAATGGTATGGTCTTCTTTAGGCTGTAGTAGGAATTCAGAGTTCTTGAAACACCCTTTTCATGGAGTTTGTATTGTCTTTGCTGCTAGATCATTGATGTTTGATGTTGTTGCTACTCTGTCGTATTGTTTTGAGCTGAGTATTGGTTGTGAACGTCTCTTGTTTTACCAAAAAAAAAAGAAGAAGAAAAGTTGTCACAGGCTTGTTTTAAACTAAACTCAGATTTTTGTTTAAGAAAAATGGAAATGTTGTAGTTTTAATAGATTTTGAATAATAATTAAACTATATTTAAGATAAAAATGTAAGTCGTGGTTAATATTGTTTAGAATCCAAGGTTAGAACAGAAAGATATAAATAATTTGTTAATTAGATGTAACAAAAAAAAAAAAAAAAAGTTTCACAGCTTGTTTAAACTAAACTCAATTTTTGTTTAAGAAAAATGAAATTTTATTTTATAGATTTTAATAATAATAAACTATATTTAAGATAAAAATAATTTTAATATTTTTAAATCAGTTAAACAAAAGATTAAATAATTTTTAATAGTGTAATAATAATATTTTATTCTTATGTAAACTATATTTTTTATTAGTCAAAAAGGTTAAAAATTAATTTTTTTTAGCGAAAATTAAGTGGAAAATAAAACAATTTCAAATTGATGCTCTATCCATAAAAACATAAAAGAAAAGAGATGGAGAATTATATTACAAACTTAAATCAGTTATAATCTCTATATATAACAAAGTATTTTTATTTTTTATTTTTTTAAAGTAGGAATTTCATTAAAAGAAAAGAGAATATAAATATGAACCCAGTCCCCATATTTTGCATAAGGAGCTTAAATATAAACCACTTAATAAAGAATAAAAAACTTTAGTTTCATTTGAGAGATTTAATCGAGTTGACATAACTATAAACTTGTACTATCAGAGATAAGCACGATCCATTTGATAGTGATTTACAACCTCTATTTAGCTTTAGGGACTTTTAACAAGCCTAATTTGATAATCTTCAAAATAACAAGTTAGTACAGACAAAACCATTGTGAAAGTGACGACAATAACCTCAAAAAAAGATTAATCAAAACTCAAATTCTATCAAAATAAATAAATCTAAAAGCATATCCCCAAAATCTATTAAAATAAATAGATATGAGATATTTACTCTCAAAATCAAAATTTTCTTAAGTTTACCAAATAATGATAGCGACTCTACAAAACCTTTCTATGAACTTAACCAAATAAGTGTTTTGATCCCATTTAGTAGATTGGATCCATGTTTTTGACCATGTTTCCACATTTTGATTTTATGGTTGTGTTAATACTTGAAAATTTCTCTTCTTTCTCTCTTTGGAATCTTTTTGGATTCTAAGCCTCCCTTTTCCTAATTAACTTTTTCTTAAATTAATTTTTAGTTTTTAAATTAATTAATTTTCATTAAATTAATTAATTTCCTCCTCCCAAATTTTTTTAAAATTAATTTGGCCTGTTCTAGCAAATCAAGATGGAATTGAGATCCAACTGTATCGTTCAAGCAATATCCAAACTCTCCAAGATCCCTAAGACTAAGGTATTATTTCTTGAATGCACTCTATATCTCTCTTCTTCTATTCTACAAATCTACCTTGTGGAAACATGATAAATAAATGTTAAAATTAACCGATAGAACTACATGATTCTGATCCCGATCTGACTATGGATCTACCAGATATATAGACAAATTTAGGAATTTAACCAAATCAACTAAAACCCATTCTCCTTTTCCATCTTCTTTTCATTATTTTGTTTGATTATTATTATTTATCGTTGTTGGAAAATGTGTGATGTAACATAGAATCTCCATCAATGAGTCATAATTGATATTCCCGACTTTATTTATTTGGATTAATTGGTTTTATTTTTATTTTTATCTAGAGATGTGCGATTATGTTAGAATCCTTATCAAGAAATTAGAGACAATACTCCCTAATTTAATTTAATTTTGCTTTATTTATTATTGATTTGTGTCTATAATGTTTTTTTTTTATGTGCTCATGCATTATTTATATGTTCATGCATTATATAAATTATTCATAAAAATTTTTTTCAATAAATCTCGTTTTAATTTTAAGTCAAATAATTTATTATTTTTATACAAAAAATCTATTCCCCAAATTCTCGTTAGTTCGAATTTTAGTGCATTTTTGCATTGGTAAAATTTTTTGAGTTAAATTGAAATTTTTCTTTAAGTTTTTCCCTAATAATTAAATCTAAGTTGGTGACTTTTTTCTTGAAATGCAAATCCGATTAAATTGGTTGTTTTTCCGTATTGTTCTAATCTAAATGAGTTTAATTCGAATGGTGCTCGAGTGAGATTTTACAGGTGGAAGGACTATTATTTGCATAGCTTCGAAGACCCATTAGGTAATCCAAACCCAAGATGGTTGGGCCCGCGAAGCTAGGTGGACAGAGACTAGAAAATTAGGCTACGCATGTCTATGGAGTCCAATGTAGAAAATGAGGCTGAGCATGTCTATGGATAGAAAAGAAGAACTGGCAGAAGAAACTAAAACGAGGCAACACGATAAAACAGCTCTGCGTGCAGGAAAAATCTAACCACCAGATTGAAATAAAGGGAGAGTTAGCTCATGAGGTGCACTCTGCAAAGTATAACCAGAAATGCTAATCCTTCTTCAACCTTGTAAGTCTCCATCTCTCCTTTTTACGTGCAATAACAAACTCCTAAAATCTTCGAGTTTTCATTTTTTCCCTACTATTGGCTCACTCAAAAAACCGTCGTTTTCTAAGAATTTTTCACTTAGGAGAAGTACCCATGTCTCATTTTGCTCTCAAAATGACAACTTTAATGATTTTTCAAATACCCAGTTGACTGAGAAGCTACAAAATGATAGAATTCAAGGGAATGAAGAACTTGAATTGCTAAATAAGCCATCTCCAGTAGTTGATAGTGGGTTAGGTGTAGAAATTGATAAAGAATCAAGTATCCAGTTCACGGAGAAGCTACAAAATGATAGAATTCAAGAGAACGAAGAACTTGAATTGCTAAATAAGCCATCTCAGTTCACGGAGAAGCTACAAAATGATAGAATTCAAGAGAACGAAGAACTTGAATTGCTAAATAAGCCATCTCCAGTAGTTATAGATAATGGGTTAGGTGTAGAAATTGATAAAGAATCTAAGGGATCTGAAAAGGATGAGGCCTTGGCCCCTTTTTTGAAGTTCTTTAAGCCTAGAAATTCGTTAGAAGTAAAAAAAGAAGAGGAAGATGGCTTGGGTGTACTAGACGGGAAGAATAATGTGAATAATGAAGATAAGGAAGGTAAGAAAGTTAATGTGGACTACTATGAACCAAAACCTGGTGATTTTGTTGTAGGTGTTGTGGTTTCGGGTAATGAGAACAAGCTTGATGTGAATGTTGGGGCAGATTTGTTGGGTACAATGTTGACCAAAGAGGTGTTGCCTCTGTATGACAGAGAAATGGAATATTTATTATGTGATGTAAAGAAGGATGCGGAGGGGTTTATGGTTCAAGGAAAAATGGGAATTGTTAAGGATGAGGCTACAGTGAGTGGGGGAACAGGGCCAGGAAGACCTGTTGTGGAGACTGGAACCATACTGTTTGCAGAGGTTCTCGGGAGGACCCTGAGTGGCCGGCCATTACTTTCAACTAGACGTTTATTCCGGCGGATAGCTTGGCATCGACTGAGGCAGGTTCTTTTCTTGCTTATTTCTTTTGCACTTTTTGGGTTTTGTTACTTTTGCTCAGAGATATGAGTTTGTGGATAAATTCTTTTTCTTTTGTCCTTCAAATCTCTTTTATGGGAATATGCTATCATTTATGTCATATGCTATGCATACATTTCCTTTCAACGTTTTAGCTATCAACATTTTTGGAATTAGAGTTTCAAAATTGACATTGAATATTGAGATTCCTTTTGACATTTTACTTTGGTAGTCAGATAAAAGAACTGAATGAGCCAATTGAGGTCAAAATTACGGAGTGGAATACTGGTGGCCTGCTTACAAGAATTGAGGTTTGTGTTTTTTTTTTTAATGTGACTGAGTTTTGTGTGTTTGGCCATCACATGTCAATGGTATCAGTTTTTAGAGTTGAATTTTGCAGGGATTGCGGGCTTTCCTACCAAAGGCTGAGTTAATGAACAGAGTGAAAAATTTCAAGGAGCTGAAAGAAAATGTAAATTGTGATTCTGAAAAGAATATTATTTTCAGCTCAGTAAATATTTTGTTATCTAGTATAATGCATTTTATCATCTGATAGTTGTTGCCATCATGTATGAATTACAAAATCTCATGCCCATCATGTATGAATTATAAAAACTCAGGCTTGCATAACCTTAAAATCTGTCAAATGCAAAATCTTTTTCTGCTAGAATTGCACTTATTTCATTCTTTAAAATAAATAAGAAATCACTTATGGGATAATCTTCTTTTGTTTCATCATTGCAATCTTTCGGTGAAGGCCTAATTAGTTTTCAATTTATTTGTAGCATATATGTCACTGTGGAAGGTCTTTCTAAGACTTCCTTCTCAGAATCATTTTGCCAGGATATTTGAAGCCATGTGTTTGCTTGTTGTTGGTCAAGGCACATAGGGAAGTAAATTATCCAATGTAAGGCAATGGTGCACCATACTGACTGTAGTTGCAACAAAATGAAATAGAAAACACTATAAACTGAATCATCAGGCAAAATGCCTCTAATCTATTATTTTCAATCATTGTCTTCTCTCATCACCTTGATCGTCATTCCCTTTGTCTACCCTCTAGCATTTTTCTCTTTAAGAAAAACCACATTTTCTTGGTAGAATATTCATTTGTATTCCTTGCACATGTCTATCATATTACATTTATCCTCCTTTTGTTAATAATTGATGTAGAACCCCATATTTTGTTAATATATGCCGAACTTTGTGTCTGAACATGTGGACAGAAATCGGAAAATAATATTGGATTGTTATGGTGGCGTATAAACAGAAAAACATTGTGCTAAATACTTCTCTTTCCAAAAATTAATTACGATTTTTGATCTTGAGATGTTATTTTATTCTGCTTCTTTTTCTATAAGCCAACCCCTGTACCTGGATTACTGTTCCCCTTATTACTCTTTGAATAAGGATTACTCTTGTTCCCTGAATTAAATTTCACTTTGATTAAGGAGTTCCCCTCATTAAGTTTTGTTTTTTTTTTTCTTTATCAAGAATTAGAAACAAATGTGAAGCTGCAAAAAAAAAGCGTAACAGAAAAGGATATACAAATGTAATAATAAGAGATTTTATTGTGTAAAGATAATAAAAAGTATATAATTTTTCTGTGATCTAAAACTTATTGTCATGTCAATGCAATATCAGCATTTTTTTAATGTTGATGTCTAGAAGCAAATGCTGTTATTTTTTTGTATTTTCTATAACTATGCTGTATTTCTTAAAGTTTCATATCTTGATTCTTGAAAATTCGGATACACATGTAAAAGTAAAGAGGTCAGGATATTTTGAGTTTTTCATTTAAACTGAATTGCTCATATTCAACTCATAATAGTTGCTGTAAAAGCACCCCTTTATGGATTTTCTACTTAGAACTTGGTGAAGTGATTCAGCACCCCTGAATGGATTGCACGCTCAAGCAAAATGGTCAACTAAGTGACTAAAGCCTAGGCCCTGACATGTTGACTATACTCCTAACCTACAGTTTAAAGATTTTGTATTTTATGATTTTTGTTTTGCCTGCTATGTGCTTTATGTTCTTGAGGATTCAATGTTGCTGCTTCTTCTCCCCCTCATTTTCCTCTAAAAGTTCTCTGTTTCTTAATGTTGTAGGTGGGCCGCCGAATGTATGTACTGATCACTCGAATAAATGAGACTAACAATGATCTAATACTGAGTGAAAGAGAAGCTTGGGTTAGTTTCCATGTGGCATTGTGTTTTATATTTTCTCCTTTTGTTGGCTTGGACATTCATTCAGTTTTTGCTCATTCCTGTTTCCCTTTTTTTTTTTTTTTTTTCTGGTTAGTCCATGTGGCATTTGTGTTTTATATTTTCTCCTTTTGTTGGCTTGGGACATTCATTCAGTATTTGCTTCAATTCCTGGTTTTCCTTTTGTTTTTTTTTTTTTTGGCATAAAAAGGTTGCTACTCTGTAGACGACTTGCAGAAATGTTAAACCTTTCGGTGAGGGCAACACTTCATGAAGAACTTGTTAAGAAATTTTTCCCTATGGAGCGTCAAGTAAGCATTGGATGACACTTAACGGGACGGTTGGTGTAGATGTATACTTTTGTTTCCCTTTTTTTTTTTTTTTTTGGCATAAAAGGTTTGCTAACTCTGTAGACGATTGCAGGAAATGTTAAACCTTCGGGAGGGAACACTTCATGAAGGAACTGTTAAGAAAATTTTTCCCTATGGAGCTCAAGTAAGAATTGGTGACACTAACCGGAGGTGGGTGTAGAATATACTTTTGTTGGCAAAATTGTCTTATTCTGTGCTGATTCTACTCATACTACTTTCTTGATTTGTGGGATGAGCACTTGTCTATATGTGTTCTGCAAATTCTTTCCAAAATATTGTGCAACAAATAAATGGAGAAGGATGGTGTTGATGTAGGAGATGGGACAAAAATGATACTGAACGAATATGGATTGGGGTGGACTTGGAATCATTTTTTCTTTGTTGGAATGCTCTTGTACAAATGTTATTTTTCTTGAAATTTCTTCAAGATATGATTGATAGAGGGAGTAGAGATTACAGGCACAAAAATGATACTGATACAGGGAGGATACATGACATAACTTTTGTGCTATGTTGATCTTATTATCATCCATTATGCTGAGAATAAGATCTGTAAAGGCTCGATCTACTTGTTAGTTAAGCAATTGGCAACATAGTGTTTTTTATATGCTCCTTTTGAGCATTCATATATTTGATTTTTTTTTTTTCCAAAATACTTGTAGAAAATTTCAAGCTTTTGTGGTTGTTTAAATATATTTATTCCTTTCTTCTTTTGTTCATAATATTATATATAAGATGTAAGATAAGCAAAGGATTTTCATTCTCTGAATATCAACTATAAGTTGACTTAATGTCTCACTTCTCTGTTCTTCTGTATCTGGCCCATTGGTACAAAAGTTTCCTAAACTTTGTTGATGCATTTCAGTGGGTTGCTGCATATATCAAACATCACTCGAACCCGAGTTACTGCCGTCAGTGATGTACTTGAAATTGACGAGAAGGTTAAAGTCCTCGTTGTGAAGTCAATGTTCCCTGATAAAATTGCACTGAGGTAATTGAAGGCTCAATTACTCTTGTTTTCATTTGATGCCTCAAGTTTATTTACAATCCAGTCCAACAATTTTTTTGGATTCTTAGGAGATATCAACATATACAAGAATCTATATTTATCCTTTTTAAGTGTTTGTATATGTAAAAAGGCTAAGAAAAGAACATGAAATTGATTCTATATAATTTGTCTAATATCATTATATCATAGACTGAATTGGCTATGTATAATTTTGTAATGCCTCTGGAAATAAATTTGCTCATTCATCCTAGTAAGAAATTTCTTTCAACCATCTATGCAAAAACAATATTCCTAGCTAATGAGGTGATGAAGGTTGTTTCTGTTTGTATCATAATGAGTGTTTACTTGTGGAACTAGAACATCAAAGAGTAATTTTAGAGATTTGAACTGCCAAGAAAAAATTTTTCTTTTAAGTTGTACCATTTACCTAGTCACTAGATTCTCCAGTTGATATAATTTATTTCCTCTGTTTTCCTATATGATGGTGATGGGTTTTAGTTCCCAACCAAAATTAGTGAAACTATATATTTCAGTAGTGCCAGGGATCCAATTTGTTAAATGAGCCCATCTGAAATCCCAAATTACTATGATCATGCCTGCTATTAAATTTCCAACTACATAACTTGCATTCTTACTAGCCTACCTTTTGCATTGGCTTATTTTATTTTTGTCTTTCTGTTCATCAACAATGTTAGGATTAATTGACTGCACAAGTGCTTGTATGCATGCCCAAAGAAAAAGAGTTGCAGTGATGTTTTTTTTTATGCTTTCTTTTGGGAGGAAAAGTAGAGAGGAACCAGATGGACTTTTACTTGATGAAACTTCTTTGAGATTGGATAATATATGAAAATATTGTTACCTATAAATTCGTCTGATGCCAGATAGGTACCTGAAAGGCTGCAACTGATAATTTTTTATTCTGGCATGCAGTATTGCAGACCTCGAAAGTGAGCCTGGCCTATTTATATCAAACAAAGAGGTGCAATTGTTTTTTCTGGTTTATTTTCCTCTCCTATTTGGTGTCTCATATTTATTTAAGTTCAAGTGCTGTTGAATAAGTTCTGTGTGATTATGTACAGAAAGTATTCGCCGAGGCAGAAGAGATGGCAAAGAAGTATAGGCAAATGCTACCTGTTGTTTTAGCCACTCGTAAGTCCGGATCCACTCTAAGTAATGCCTTACCTTTTGATAGTGAAGAAATTATGTATGCAAATTGGAAATGGTTCAAATTTGAAAGAGATTAAGGGAATTTACTGATCTAATGCTAAGCTGTTGTATCATAATTTGGAGGAGGGAAACTCATCCCTCGTTCCTCTCTCCGTCAAAACCAAAATTGGCCCTACCAAGAGAAAAAGGAAAGATCTTTAGGGCCCTTTTTCACTGTGCAACTATTGCATTATCCATTTGGAAAATTCACAATTGCATATGATTGGTAATCACAGGCTGGATGCGAGTTCTGTCCAGATGTTCTACACAATGTGCAGTATTATGCATAAAATCTTCTACACAATTTGATAAATTCAATTCTTTGACATGCATGCGACTTGTTTTTCGTTCTGGTGTCTGTCGCTGACCAGAGTTTTAAAGTAGTATTTATATTTATTTTTCCTCTTGCCATCTTTTAAGGTATAACTTCTCATGTACATGGAACTGGCACAACTGAATTTTCTCTTCAGTTTAATTTACTGCAATTTTCCCCTTCAATTATGATTGGTGTGTGTTTAGCATTGCTATTGCTAATAGCATATGTTGAGTCAAAAGTTAAAAAGAATTTTTTTTTTTTGGACTAAAAAGATAATAGATTCTTGCAAATGTGATTTTTATGTGCCGAAATTTGATTTTGGGAAAATTTAAATCTGAAACTTTTTGAAAATCAATTTCGGATCTATAAATTGTAAAAAGTTACATCTTGTTAGGCATGACCACGGTTCTTGAAATGTAGGTTAGTATTTCAAAACAATTGGTTCTTGTTACAAAAATGGAGGAATTACAACCGAAGCATTCTTAGGTGGTGTTTAAGATAGTTTGGAAACTGTTGGTTTTTGTGCTGTTTTGATTTGAAAGTGAAATTAGATAATCTTTTTAAAATTTTTTATTTTTTTTCTATTTTTGTAGATTTGAATGAATAATAATAATTGAAAAGGACGAAAATAGTTTAATAAAAAGTGTTGATATTTATTTTAAAATATTATAATTTAATAAAAAGAGCAATATTTTGAGAGTTTATTTAAAAATATATCATTCGTGGTTTTAAATCGAAATTATCGGTTTTAAACTAAAACCCTGGGTTTCAATTTTTAAAACTGAAAAATTGGAATCAAATTGTAAAAGTACGGTTTTGGTTACAGTTTGGAATCGAAAATGATTGAATGTAGCTTAGTGTTGATTTTGACCGGTTCGATTTCAATTTGGTTTTGGTTTAAAATGAATCTGTGGGTCAACATAATTATAGCCATTCCCAGTGAAATTCTTCGAACATTAATCCTTATTTTAATCAAAGGTCATTACATGACTGTAATGTGTACTTCTGGATGATAAATTCGTTTGGTTGTTGAGAAAATGAAGGAAGAAAATATTACTAACAATTAATATGTTATTTTTTAATATTTTACCTTTTGTTGGCTCTGCCAAGAATGGGAAAAAGAAAAAATAAATCAAAAGTTAGTAATTTTGTTATAGCATGAAAGTGTAGGTCTTAAGCAAACCTAGCCTATGCGTTTGTCTTCTTGATGCTTTTTTCAGCTACGAAGAAATATGGTTTTTCTTCTACGGTTGTAAGTGAAGAAATTGACACACCCTAAATAAATAGGGTTGGGGGCTCCATGAATTTTTAAGGAATTGATACACCTTGATATCCATTTCTATTTTGATACAGAGAAGTGAATTTCTGTCCACGCTAACATTGTAAATCTTCTGTGAATTCATTTAAAATTTTACGTTTTTGGATTCAGCATTTAGTTATTAGCTGTTTAGTTATTAGCTGTTTAAGTAGCAATCGAAAGGAAGAGTGTTCAGTAAAAACTGTTATTTTATTGATTATTAAATTTAAAATGACAAAATAAGATATTAGAATATTTACTTATAATTTTTAGCATAAAATTAAACTCATATTATATATATATATATATATAACAATAAAGACTTTTGGCACAGCATGCGCCAAGCTCAATTAGAATCTTGGTATATAAAATGTCTATAATGCCCCCTTTCAGGGGCGTTTTAGATCCAACGGTAAAGATGGCAACCCAAGTGTTATTAACCTTTTACTTAATGAAAAGTTTGAATTACTAAAAGCTCCAAGCCTCCTAGTGGAAGCTGTAAAACCATAGATTCTAGTTGAGCCTGGCACAGGTTGTGCCATTTAGAACTGCTCATTAATTAATTATGAGCTTCCAATATTTAAATTCCAATCAATTAAATTAAATTTAAACTATCATTAAATCTATAATTCAAACTCATGGCCTACAAAAATAAAAGTATAGTGAAAGAGCAGTTAGAAATGGTAAGGATATTCTATATAGTGGATTTGGTAGATTGCTTACACAGGAGAAAGAGAAGAGAAAAGAAACTATAGATAGATAATTGCTTATGTTGAAAGAAACCCAAAATAATAAAAAAGTGTTGAGACCTATATCCGTGTTGAGAGGCTTAATTCAGGCTTCTCTGTATGTCGCTAAAGTGCCAAATGATTACTTTACTTGCCAACTTTTTCTATTTTCAATTTTATGCCTATCTATTCCAAATATGTAATTTCTCATTTTTGTTCATCCTCCTCCCTACTAGCTTTAGGAACTCATCCTAATTTTATCACTTTAAAAAATAATTTCTTCATTTGTTATAATTCAAATTAATACATTTAATTAGTTATTATCTGATTATCGATTAATAACAATTATATGTTTTAGGCTTATAAGAAATAATTAAAATATTACGGAGGTTTGTTTGAGTGAAAGGACTCAGGTTACTTAAGTAAGAGGTTGAGTGCTTCATCACTGTGAACAGAGATAATTTCCATTGAGAGCGCTTCCACCTTATGGGTCTGACGTGGAGCGAGTAGGATTAGGTTTAATCCAATGAATAAAGATACCTGAAGTATCTTTATAAAAAAAATAATAATTAAAATCTTAAATTTTAACATTTCAATTATAATTTTGGACCACAAGTATTTAGGAAACATCTTAAATCAAATTAATTAAGAGATCAAAAACTAAAAAATAAAATACCAAACACTGGTGTAGGCCATGCTATATGTACGCGTGTCTTTTATGCTTTGACAGAAAACTAGGTAGGTAGCTACACATTAACATTATAATATGCATATGGTAATATCCTATAATCCAAATGCAAATTTTCATAGGATTCTTAAGATTCCATTATTATTAAGTTGCTATCATCACTACCTATGTTTAGATTTTTCAATGGATTAAATATCTTTCATGTCACAAAGTAATAAGATCATTTTAAGATATGTCTATATATATAGATTTATTTTACCTAAAGAAAATCAGAGCTTTAGTAACAATAAAATTTGTCAAATATCAATTTCAAATTACTAATTAAGTTAGTAATGTAGTGGTTATTATTATTATTATTATTATTTGTACAGACGAATATTCTATTAGCTTGTTTGAAATCGAAATAAAATAGTACACGCTAAATAATTTCAATTTTTATATGAAGAAAATCAAATAGAAGTGGATTAGTTAGATTTTTCAATTTTAAATTTATATTTGGATTAAATTAAATTAATGTTTAGAATTTTTAGATTTCTTTTAGTTTTATACCTAAAATTTTTGCACCAAGAAAAACAAATCAAATCAAAAAAATATTTGTTTTGGCTTATTATGCTTAGACCTAGTTGAAAAAATTTGTTCAAACTCTTTCAATTAATGGTATTCTAAAATCGAATAATTTTAATTGTGTACCACTTATATAGGAGTGAGCAAATGGTAGGCTCGGTTCAAATCAAATTGAATCAAGGTAAAAAAAATGAAGTTTATGGACAATGGACCATATCGAACCAATATTGGCATCTGAACTGACTTAAATCAAATCGAACCAATTCGGTTCGTACAATTTTTATAGGGTTTTGCAATGTCAATTTGGTTTTAGTCCAAGCAATGAATTTTTATGAAACAGACTCGAACCAAAAAATAAATTCGGTTCAAATTGACTAACCCAACAAATCAAACCTTCTTTGAATAGCTTATCGAAGGTCAGCTCAGTTTAATCAGTGGTTTTACACACCCCTGCTCTTATATATATGATTAGGCGTTTCTTTTTTTTTTTTGAATAAAATGATGAGCTCAGCTCATATTATTGATATCAAATAATAAAGCATCATACAAAAATGAAGGAGGGCATACCCCCCCCCCCCCAAGACACAAAACTAGCCGCCCTAGCAATCGTATGAGCAACTTGATTCACTGGCTTTCTAACAAAATCATAAGAAACTAACTGCTGCTCCTTCAATCGAGCCTTACAATCATTAATGATCAAAGCAAAATAAGAAGAAAATTCATATGAAGTTCTCAAGGCTTTTACTACCACTTCACAATCTGTCTCCATACAAATAGGAAAGAAAGGCTGTGACTTCAACCAACTCAGTGCTTCTTGAAAGCACAAAGCTTCTCCAATCTATGGGTCATGCAAACCAGGTGGAGAAAACAATTTCTCTGCTCAAGAATGACCATGACAATCTCTTATAATCATACTGATGCCATACGCTTCATTGGGTAAGATTGCCACGTCAATAGTGCATATATATAAACCTGGCATGGGGGCCTTCCAACTCCTTTTATCCTGTTGATGCTGAATAACCCATTTGGAATTTCTCTGCTCAAGAATGACCATGACAATCTCTTATAATCATACTGATGCCATACGCTTCATTGGGTAAGATTGCCACGTCAATAGTGCATATATATAAACCTGGCATGGGGGCCTTCCAACTCCTTTTATCCTGTTGATGCTGAATAACCCATTTGGAACCTGGCATGGGGGCCTTCCAACTCCTTTTATCCTGTTGATGCTGAATAACCCATTTGGAAATCATAGAGTCATTATTCCTTGTTGCCTTCCATTCATAAAGCACGGCATGTGCATGACTTAACACGTAATTAGGATTTTGAAAATGTCTCTGCCACAAGACCTCATTTTTGTGAGACCATAAGCTCCAAATCAACATAAAAAATTCTTCATGACTACTGGAATGCATATCAGTCAGAATCCGAGTAAGACAATCATGAAAAGAACTGATTATCTTCCATCTCACAGTTGACAGCAACCGACACGACTTTGCACAAGGACAGTCATACAAAATATGAAGTGCAGTTTCATTGTCAAAACCACATACCAGACAAATCTCATCAATCTCCAAATGTCTCCGTTTGAGATTTGTCTTGCAAGGGAGAGCATCACACATCACACTCCAAATAAGAAGTTTTACTTTTCCAGGAACCTATACCTGCCATAACTTCTGCCACGGAAATCCTATTTGAGATTTGTCTTGCAAGGGAGAGCATCACACATCACACTCCAAATAAGAAGTTTTACTTTTCCAGGAACCTATACCTGCCATAACTTCTGCCACGGAAATCCTACTACCTCAAACTCCACATTATCCATCTGCATAGCCATCCTATAACCCTCTTTAACTAAATACTCCCCTTTCCTGTTTGAGAACCAAACCAATTATCACAAACTACTCTAGCAAACAATGGAATTTTTAGTATTAAATCAGAATCCCTTTGACTGAAATAGGATCTGATCAATTCTTCATTCCATTTCTGATTATTAATAAGGTCAAAAACCCTTGATAAAACTTGGTCCTCCATTAGTTCAGTCTGAATATAAGGATCAAATTCATCATGAAGCCATGGGTCGTTCCATATATCAATAGAAGTACCATCGCCTACCCATTTTCTACAACCTTGACATAAAATATATTGTGAAGCATAGATGCTATGCCATATTTGACTGGGATTGTGTTTGACTTCAGTGTTAAAGAGGCTAGAATCAGGGAAGTACCTTGCTTCAAAATTTTTGCAGCTAAAGAATCGGGATACTTTAGAATTCTCCGCCCTTATTTTGCCAATAGAGCTAAGTTAAACTATCTAAGATCCCTGTACCCCAAACCGCCTTCCCTTTTTGGGATAGTCAGACGACGCCACCGAAACCATCGAATGCCATTATTATCTAAGGATTCGTTATGCTAAAAGAAACCATTCATAAGACATTCAACGTCCTTACAGATATCGACTGGAAGAAGGAATAGGGACATTAAGTAATTCGGCATAGCCTGAGCCACAGTGCATAATAAAATGTCCTTTTCAGCTTTGGATAAAAGTTTGGCTTTCCATCCCTATAGTCGCTTAACTGCCTTCTCAATAATAAACTGAAAAATCCATCTTTTCTCTTTGCCAATAACAGATGGAATTCCCAAACAGTTGCCATGATTTACCACCTCCTGAACGCCTAAGGATTGACAAATTTGAGCCCTTGTTGCACTATCAGTATTTGGAGTGAAACAAACTACTGATTTAGAAAAATTAATACATTGCCTAGAAGCTGCTTCATAAAGGGACAAAAAATTTTTCAGTTGAGAAACTTCATACTCCTTGGCCTTGGAAAAAAATAAAGCGTCGTTAGTAAAGCAAAGATGAGAAACAGGAATTGCACCTCTCGCTACTTCATGAATTCTATCCTGCGCTTCAAATGTAGATAGGATAGCAGAATGCCCTTCCATATAAATGATAAATAGATACGAGGAGAGTGGATCCCCTTGCCTTAAACCTCGGCTAGGAATTAAAGGACCAAATTCCTCACTACCCCTTACAAAATAGTATGAAATTGTAGTGACCACTCTCATAAGCTTTGACACCCATTCCTCTATAAAACCCATCTTCAACATGATTAGCCTCAAATACTCCCATTCAATATGGTCATAGGCCTTGCTCATGTCTGTTTTTAAAGCCATAATCCCAGTACGACCTTGGTTTTTCCTTTTAAGAGTATGAAATAACTCGTAAGCAATGATTATGTTATCTGTTATTAAATGTTGAGAGATGAAAGCACTTTGCATCTTCGAAATTATCTGTGGCAGCACCAATTTCGAACGATTCGCCAAAGTCTTGCATACAATATGATCAACAACGTTACTGAGCGAGATTGGTCTTAAGTTAGCAACATGTTCGGGACTTGCTTTCTTTGGGATCAAAATTATGTTAGTTCTATTAAAACCAGGTAATAGAGAATCACCACTTAAACATTTCAAACATTCAGTAGTAACATCTCCCCCCCCCCCCCCATCACACTTAAAACATTTCCAAACATTCAGTAGTAACAGTCTCTCCCCCCCCCCCCCCAATATGCCAATAAAGTTGAAAAATTCTGAGATTTAGGCCATCCGGACCTGGAGACTTGTCTGGGTGCATAGAAAATAAAGCTTGTCATATCTCTTCCGCCGTAAAGGGTGCTGTTAATAATTCATTATGGTGATCAGTCACTTTCCTTTCAACATAAGCTGGAATCGGATAAGGATTGCCATTTATTGATGAGAACAACTCCTAGTAAAAACTCATAATAACTAATTGTAAACCATTATCCCAGTCTACCCATTCTCCATCTTCATTCTTTAGCTAGGAAATAAAATTTTTTCGATTTCTATTGGACGCCATGAAATGAAAGTACTTCGAGTTCGAGTCTCCTTTAGCTAACCAATGCTGCTTTGAGCTTTGTTTCCAGTAGAGTTCATTTTGGAGAAGCAGATTACTATACTAATCCTCCGCCACTCATAGCTGATTTAAATCTAAGGATGGTTGGTGGCGCAGAAATGCCAGCTGTAGTTTAATCTGGCGAAGCTTGTCTTTAAATTCTTTATGGTGATTAACTGCCCAACACTAGATATATTTCGCACAATAGCTGATGCGAAGAGATAATGAAGATCGATCATAAGTCCATGCTTCATGAACAATTTGGCATCAATCTTTTTCCAATGTCCAGGAATTCTCAAATCGAAACCACTTTTGCAAATATCTTGTAAACCGAATTCCCAAGCATAAGAACCAAGGTAAATGATCTGAAGTTGGCGTATCTAAAACATGAACCTTTGCCATATTGAAAATCAAACTCCAAGTACTAGTAGTTACTTCCCTATCCATCCTTTCTCGAATATAATTCTCGTCATCTCTACGATTTTCCCATGTAAAGCGAGAACCATTGTAACCTAAATAGTGAAGATGACAATAAAAAAGAGTCTGACGAAATCCCTCCAACAAGAATATAATTCTCGTCATCTCTACGATTTTCCCATGTAAAGCGAGAACCATTGTAACCTAAATAGTGAAGATGACAATAAAAAAGAGTCTGACGAAATCCCTCCAACAAACTTCTAGGATGAGAAACTTGACCTTGCTTTTTAGAAAGAAACATAATATCGTTGAAGTCACCTATCACACACCACGGTAATGATGATTTTGATTGCAATGATTTAAGTAAGTCCCGCCCAAGACGCCTCTTACTTCTCTCTACATATCCATAAAAACCAGTTAAACGCCAAGTCTCCATACCCTCAATATTGATTTGAACGTCAATATAGTGTCTTGAGTAACTAATTAAATGGGCCATAGAACTCTCTCTCTATAATAGAGCCAAACCTCCACAATACCAATTGGGTCCACCACAAAAGAACCCTTAAAGCCCAAAGCCTTTTTTACACGTAACACCTTTTCTTGCTTGATTTTTGTCTCCATGAGGAAAACAAATTGGATTTCTTATCGGACACCATGTCCTTTAAAGCACGAACTGTTTGTGGGTTCCGAAGCCCACGACAGTTCCAGCTAATGGTACTCATTGGTCTAGGCAGGCCTGGGATCTAGTACCCACCTCTTCTAAGTTTTTGGACATTACTTCATTAGTTTCTGGGGCCTTGTCATTATCCATTAACTCATTATCCACCATAGACTCCTCACCATCTACTCTTCTTCTTTTTGCATCGGTAACAATAATTCCCTCAATTATGTGTTGCATCATATGTTCAGTAATTGGCTCTTTCTCATGCACGTAATTGGCTCTAGAGTGTCCTTCATCCCTATTGACACTAGTTATGTTTTGGATTGGAAGATTATTGTCTCCAGGAAATTGTTCTTGTGCCATATTCCTTGCAAACACATTTCCTTGTGTCCCACCAGACTCCTCCCTCATTGGACTAGTGCCACCCCTACTGCCGGAGACATTTAGGAAATCCTTTTGCGATCATAGCCATTTAGCACCGACATGTGTACCTTTCTGAGTTTTAGCTTTGAGCCATGGTCCATAAGCAAACTTTTCTCTAAGAAAATTTGACAAATCAAAGAGTTTGCTACAAAAACGATCTGAGTGACCAATTAATCCATAAAAATAGCAGAAAGTATTAAGTCTTTCATACTTAAAATGCATCCTTTGCCATTCTCCTTTAAGTTTCTTCAACATCAATTTCCTCTTTAAAGGTTGTCTTACATCCACCCCCACTATAATTCTCATGTATTCCCTCCATATAGCTAATAGTTTCTGGGATCAACTTTTAGAATCACTCTAATGAAATTACCAATATCTATTGCGACCCTTTCCGACATGAAACCGCTTGGCACATCGTGAACTTGCATCCACATGTCCAGTCTAGTAAGCTCCACCTCTCTAGGACTTTCATTTGGTTGTAGTTGATGCATGAGCAAAGGAATTTGCTGGTAATTCCAAGGTCCCCCTTTTACCACTCTTTCTACATCCAGTTGATGAAAGAATTGGAACAAAAATGCATTGTTTACCAATTCTTTATAATGAGACCTTTCACATGACGCTAAACACTTGCCATAACTTGCTTAAAGATCAAGGCATTAATGGATTTTTTAGTAAGTAGACGACCAACTATGCAGAATTGCCACTCCGATTCCTAGATTGATTTGTCATGTCCTTTAGATTCATCCGCATATTCTAACCTTCCTTGTTGCTCCTCCAGGTGAAGTCGCAACCTCTCCTCCTCACCTCCGTTCTCTATAATGAAACAAACTAGGAAACAAGGAAGAAAATTGAAAGATAAAGAAATACTGTGAAAATAAGAGAAGACCGAATAGAGTTAGATTGTGAAGATTAATAGGTGTATAATGAAGTAGAAATTAATTAGGAAGAAACATGAAGTAAAACTATTCTTCTTATTGAAAACAAGAGGAAAGGAGCTCGACATAACGCGAGTTATGATTTGGTGTATTTAAAACTATAATCCCTGAAATGCTTTTCAATAGTATTCTAACTTGATTGATAAAGAAGAAATTTTACATTCTTTACCCACTAGACTTCTTTAAGACTTTCCAATATATATTGATGAGAAAAAGGTCAAATTCGAAATTTATTTGCTTATTAATACATGGGTAATAAGTAGTTAATCCTTCAAATTTGGTCATAATTATAATTTTGTTTTTATTGTTTAATAAAGACTCTTTCTGTCCCAAAATATAACTCTTTTTAGGGTAATTATTTCATTTTGAGTATTTTTAAAGAGTAACAAATGATCTTTTTTCAAATTTACCTTTATTTATATTAGATACAAATGGTTTTGAGATAAATGGTAATTTGATCAAATTACCCTTTATTTTATTATAATGTAAGAAATTAATTACTTCTTTACTTTTTATGCAAAAACCTTAAACTGACTTCTATTTTGAAATGGATGAAGTAATCAATTTTAGTCTCTGAAATCTCGCTACCTCAAATTATTTAGTCTTTTTATCCAAAAAGTATTATTTTAGAAGTTAAAAACCTTGTAATATTTGACTATTTAGTCTTTTATATTTAATATAACTCCTCTTATTGACTATTAAATTACTCTGTTAGTTCTTTTTATGTATGAAAAGTTTCTTTTTTGGGGTTTCTTTTTACATAAAAATTTTTTCTAATTTGATAATTTTGGAAATCATGCCAATATAAAAAGTCTGTCTTACCTTTATCTTAGTCTTCTATTTAGCTTTTAGTGTGAGAAATTATCAAGATAGTGACAGATAAATGTATAAATAAACATTTAATGTGAATAAATTTTGGAGAATGGGTTTTTTTACATTAATTTTCGTTGGAAAAAATTGTGCTCGGATAGGTGATATGAGTGCTGATTAAAATGATGTTTGAATAGAAAAATGCCACAAAATTTTCAGGTTGACCACATTGAAAAGAATCCTTACGGGTTTTGTTTAAATATTTGAAAAATTGCATGATATTTAAAGTACATGTTTAATAACTGAAAACAGTTCAAAGGTTAAATAAGCACAAAGTTTCATATTTTTACACAACTTTCCCAAATAAAGACCAAAAATGAATTTATCTCTGCAGATTAGAGCATAAACTTCAGTTTTTGCAACCATTTGTATTCTTTTCATTTTAACAAAGCATTTAAAGTCTCATCAAATATTAAAATGTAATTTAAGGCATGCATTGATATTAGAAGATGAATAATGAGATATTAGGGGTTTAAATTAGGAAAAAAAGGATTTTAAAAAAGTTGATTAAACTACTTTTTTTAATTTTAATGAAAAATTAGTTGTTTCTATATAAAAAGAACAAAGAAAGTATTATTTAGTCTTTCATTTAATGATATAAACCTAGTACCGCAAGGATTAATCAATGTCTTTACTAAAGATAAGAGTCACGACGAAATTATAATTATGACCAAATTTGAGGGACTAATTTATTATAATAAATATATATAATAGACAAACCAGAGAATGTAAGCTAGCTCATGTACGATTAAAGATGGGAATGGAGAGACAAGAAAAGAGAAGAGTCCTGAATATAATTTCCAAGGACTAGTAAGTTAACTAAACAATATATAAATAGTAGTTCTCTAAAAGTATTACCATCCTCTTATGCAAATTTTGGTATGGTGTATTCAAAAATAAATTATTAATTTATTGTTGATATCATTATTTTGTTTTGCAAAACAAATTAGATATTATTTAATTTATTTTTGGAAGGCAAAGGCAGGGTGTTGGGAATCATATGACAGTGGTTACAGTAATAAATAGAAGGTATGGGAAATCTGAGTCTAATTATTAACAGTTT